TATCTGCAGTTATCACAAGATTCCCGATAGGTTGGCTGCTACTCTTACACATATCTGATTCAACATTGTCCTTTATCTGCTTTATGAACTTCAGATACTTCTGTGTAGCTAAACACCACCCAGTGTTTTCAAAATGATTTCCCAGGATCGTTGTCTATCAGAGGCCAGTCTGACATTTTATTGCGTGCAACCTGTAATTTCATACAAATTGTGATCAGAAAGACAAAAGGTTGAGCATACGAATCAGATCAGTTCATTCCGTGCTCAGCTCGGGCTGACAGCTTGCGAAACCTTTGCTCTCAGCTTGCTGACAGCTGTGGGGAATGGAATGCCTTGATGGGTTGGTTACAGGAGGATCCGTGTCTCTGCGAGCCGTTTGCACATTGACTCTGCCAAAGGTCCGGCAGACATTTCTCCCAAGGAAGGGGCAAGGATTCCCTAGGATGGAGCTCCAGTGCTTAAAGTGGCATCAAACTGCATTATTTCTACAGTGTAGATGCACTGCCTGTCCTCAAATGACCACCCCACTCCTGTTCTGGCATTTTTGACATGGGTTACATTTAATACTTCTACGTTTTCTTGCTCTGCTTTTGGATAGAGAAGAGGAAAACAACATAAGCAAAGTTTCAAGAATACCCTGTTTTGAATCACAGCTCTCATAATCCCCTCTGCTTGGCTGGAGGAAAAACAAGGCTTCCAAGAACTGGACATACTTGAAGCAATCTCTCCTAGTTCCCATGACCTTCGCTTCTTGTCTTCGAAGGAACACCATGAAATGCCGGCTAAAGCGGAAACATTTCCCGAATGCTCAAGTGTCACTGCTGGCTGGCCCATTTCCAGCTCCCGCCTCCATTTCTAAACTTTGCACACTCCGCGCGGAGTGACAAGGTTTCTCCTTCTGAGAAAGCGACGAACTCTTTTGGAGCCAGAGGCAGACGGGAACCTATTTTATTTTTTAAGGTCTAGAAAAGAAGGTACTCTACTTTTTGGGTGGATTCTTGGGAATGAGGGAGCAGGGAGACTTTCTCGCGCTGTCTGGCTTTGCATTGAGAAAAAGCTCTGGTTCTTTCCTCCCTTGACTTGTTTGCACATTGTTTGCACACTGAAATGGCCAGAGTAAAAAAATAGGCTGGCACTGAGACAGCAAATTCTTTCCTCTCCAAATGGGAAAACAAAAGACTAGCAAGAAGCTGGGGCTATTTTTCCTCCAAATGGAGTGCCGGGCAGATATTGCTGGAAGCTATAGAAAGAATGTGATTTCCAGAAGCAATGGTGCAGTGGAGCCAGAGCATGCCAGGACTTTGAGCTGAGCGGTGAAAACATGAGAGTCTGTCCCACTTCCCCCAAGCTTCCCTGTTTCCTCTGAATTTAAGGGCAAAGGGAAATAATTCCCCCTATATCGTTTTGAGCTTCCTCCCTTGCAATCTAAAGCATTTTGCAGTGGCTTGGTCTTCAATGAGCAATTGAGACCCATTTGTTTTACAAAAGACCTGCTCCTGCTGGAGCTGAAGCTGTGCTCCTATTTGAAGCTGGCATAGTATAAGTGGAGTTCTGGGTGCCAAGGAAGGAGGATAAAAGCAACCAGGCTGGAGCAACTAGGGTTGCTTTAGGGTTGCCATAAGTCAGAAACAAGTTGAAGGCACACAATAAAAATCTCAAGGATGAAGTTAATAAATGTGAATATTGGACTGGGGTGGATTTGGGGCCTGATCCAGCAGGGTTCTTCTGCCTCTTCATTGTAGGTAGTCTCCATAAATCCAATGGAGGACGTGTTGGGTGGTGCGGATGGCCGGCCATTCCATGTTGTGACTCCTGTGCTGGAGAGTGTAGCTCTTTCCCGAGCAGCTGGCACCAAGGTCTACATGAAAATGGAGAACGTCCAGCCCACCGGTTCCTTCAAGATCCGAGGCATTGGCTACTTTTGCCATCAGGTGAATGCAGGAGTTCCTTTGTTGAAGAACAGAAATGTCTATTATAGATGGCTCTAGAACACAGCCATCTCCAAGCTGCTCAAGTGGTGTCAAACTGCTAGAATTCT